CGGTCCTGGGGCCAGGGAAGGGCCCCCGGAGGCCGAAAACCACGAGACGCCTCCCGTCGTGATTTCTTGTCACAGCGCGAGGGGGTCTGGGTGTCGGGGCAGCTATACGTTCAGGAGGAAAAGAAACACACAGACACAATTAATCTTCGATTCCCCAGAAAATATGGGAAGATATGGGAAGTGGTGGGGAAGACAAAAACTCAAAAAATATGGGAAAATATGGGGATTCTTTTTATTTGTGTGTATTTATTTGTGTGTCCTGGGGCAGCTATAAGTCTGGGATGACCAGGCCCGCTTCGGCGCCGCACGCGTGCCGATGGCCGGGGAGGCCCCTTGCAGGGCTCGTTCCGATTCCTCCGGTTCGGTTCGATTCGATTTCGATGGCCTCCCATTCCGATTCGATCCGACTTCGGACTCCGCTTTGGACTCCGACTCCTCCACCAAGACATACCAGCCTGTCGATCTCCTCCGACTCGACTTCTCCCCACTCGGCTGCCGAGTTCCGCCGATGCGATCCATGCCGATCGAGGATCCGACCTATCGTGAAGTCGGGCCTGTCCCCCTACATGGGGATTTTCGACGAAGAATAAGAAATACCCCCAAAATAGTATAAAAAACGAAAATAGTATGGGGACTATTTTCTGAGTATTTTTTTTTGTTCCTCTTTTACCTTTTTGGTGTATTCTTGGGACATCTTGTATTTTCCGTCGAGGCTCCCCCCTGTAGGGAACACACGCCCGACATAAGCCCATCGATTCGGTTCTAGGTTCTAGGCGCTCCTGCCCTGCCCTCCTCCCTCCTCCCTCCTCCCTCCTCCCTCCTCCCTCCTCCCTCCTCCCTCCCTCCTCCCTCCTCCCTCCCTCCCTCCCTCCCCCCCCGCCGCCAGGAGGGTCGCGGCGCAGTACCTCGACAAGCTGCAGGAGGGCCGGCGCTGGATTCCGGACAGGCGGGCGGCGGGCCCCTCGCCGGACCCCGGGGCGTCGCCAGAGAGTCCTCCTCCACCTCCTCCTCCTCTCCTCCTCCTCCTCCTCGTCCTCCTCCTCCTCCTTCCTCCCTTCACCTCCTCCTCCTCCTCCTCCTCCTCCTCTCCTCCTCCTCCTTCCTTCCTCCTCCTCCTCTCTCCCTCCTCCCCTCCTCCTCCTCCTCCTCCTCCTCCTCCTCCTCCTCCTCCTCCTCCTCCTCCTCCCTCCTCCTCCTCTACTCCTGCTCCTCCTGAACCATCTTCCTCCTCCTCCTCCTCCTCCTCCTCCTCCTCCTCCTCCTCCTCCTCCTCTCCTCCCTCTCCTTCTCCTCCTCCTCCTCCTCCTCCTCCTCCTCTTCCTCCTCCTCCTTCTCCTCCTCCTTCTTTTCCTCATAAGCAATTTCTCCCTGTCGCACCCCGAGGCTGGTCGAAAGGACGTTCCAGGCGTTTCGCCTCAGGTTTCCTCACCACTTATGTCCCTGTTTTTTGTTAATTGGCATCAGCTTCACAGATGGAGGGCGGGCCGTCTTCACAATGTGGCTCTCGCCTTAGCGCCGCGCGCACTCATTGCAGACAGTTGCAACAGTTTCACGGGTTGAGGGCGGATTCTTTTCAAAACGTGGTTCTCGCTTTAGCTCCGCGCAGATTCCTTTACTTAACAGTTTCAAGAGTTTCGCGGATTCCCATTGTCAGCGTACCAGAAATGGTGTTTTGGAAGGATTCACGATTATGAGGGCGCAACAGCTACGATGATTCGCGGCGTTGAAGTCCCAGGAACGGCGTCCTGGTGCGATTCAGGATCGTCTAGACGCAACAGTCAAGTTTATCCGTGGCGTTGGAATACCGAGAATAATGTTTTGGCATACGTCAGGGTCTTCAAACGATTGTCTTCCAACGAGGCAGGTCCCCCTGTGGGAATGAAGCGTTGTATGGGGCATATGAAGAGGGAGCTTGAAAGGAAGGGTTTATTCCAACATCGTTGATGGTTCTTGGGTTTACATTGGTCCTTCTCCTCGGAGTTCGCCCCTTGAAGCTTCCGGATATGCCCCCTGCCGGCCCCCATGAGAAGTCTGGGTCCGGCATATTCCAATCGCAGGGGATTTTGCTAGCCGTACTCCACAGCTCCTCCGTAGGTGTCGACGTGACCCCCTCATGCGGATGACGTCCTGTCCTGTCCTGTCCTCCTCCTCCTCCCACTCCTCTTCTCTCTTCTTCCTCCTCCTCCTCCTCCTCCTCCTCCTCCTCCTCCTCCTCCTCCTTCCTCCTCCTCCCTCCTCCTCCTTCCTCCTCCTCCTCCTCTTCCCTCCTCCTCCTCCTCCTCCTCCTCCTCCTTCCTCCACTTCCTCCTCCTATTCCTCTTCTCTCCTTCTTCCTCTCCTCTCCTCCTCCTCCTCCTCCTCTCCTCCTCCTCCCTCCTCCTCCTCCTCCACTTCCTCTTTTCTCCTCATTCTCTTCTCTCTTCTTCCTCCTCCTCCTCCTCCCCTCCTCCGCCTCCTCCTCCTCCTCCTTCCTCCTCCTCCTCCCTCCTCCTCCTCCTCA